GGGATGGGGAGGTGTGGGGGGGGAGGTGGGAGGTCGGGTTGTGATTGTAACGGGGCGGCTGCAGTCCGGGGCCACTGAATAACGGGAAACACAGCGGGCCGCGAGGAGAGGAGAGAGTGGAGCAGAAGGGAAGCTGCGTATTTTATTTGTCTGAATGGATCATAACATGTCAGTTTGTCTGTCTGTCACCTACAAACTCACTGCGAGCTGTGGCCTAATCACAAGGGCCCGTTGCTTTTCCCATATCGACCTTCAACCCCCCCGATTGCACCGTTCTTCCTTGTACACCTCATTGACTTATGTAGCCCAGATATGGGCCTGTTATATGGCCTTATGGGTAGTCATTCTGTTCTGGCCTACTGCTAAGGGATCCAGTCTTAGTACAGGGTTGTGATTTTGGATTTCCAAGTGGTTCTCGCATGCTTAAAGTCTTTTAGATGTTTTAGTGGCCCCTCATTTAAAGACATTATTGATTCTGACATGTGGGTCCACTAGAAAATCTGGATTGGGTGCTCTGACATGCGTTAACTGTCAGATGTGTGCGTTGGCGTCAGTTTGGCGTGTTTACCACCAACTTTACATTTAAATGACAACTTGAAGGAGCCCAACGTCTTTCCCAACCACTCTGTCTCTCTCTCCCTGAGAACAATCCCCATTGTTGCCATCGGCGGAGTTTTTATTGTAAGACCACACTGGTATCAGATAACAAGTAACGGACTACACCCTAAACCTCTCTGTCGCTCTACTTCTCTCTCTCCCCCTCCCCCTCTTCTCTCTCCCCGTGTCTCCTTTCCTCCACATCTCATCACCGTTACCTTTTAATCATTGACTTTTACATCCTCTCTGGTGTTTTGAAACCGGAACATTTGGATGAACTGAAGCACCGCTAATTCTTGGGTGGTTTTAAACGCATGTAAGAGAGAACTAATAAATAAATCCTCTCAAGTAACATTGAGTAGTCGTAATGGAAGCACGCAGGTATTTCTGGGTTGATCAACAGCACACCTGAAGCTTTTGAAAGCGAATTTTACGCAGAGAAAACCGAGAAATGTACTTCTTTAACTCATAAACTGTTGGTTAACTCTGCCTTTTAGTCTTTGTTGACCTTAAGTGACAACTACAATGCTAATTAGTTACAGAAAAGTCACATTTATTCATCAAAATATCAAATGTTCCACTAGATCCTCTCTCTTAAGCTTAAAACTGAGCGTCTGTGCGTAATTACGCATAGTTAACACTCCTCACCAAACCCAGCAACGGTCTCAGCTAGTTTCAGGTATGTGCCGTTACTTGACGTACCTGCCTGACATGTGTACGGGTAACAGAAACACACTCACTCACCCACTCACACATACACACACACTCACACAGAGGTATGATAATTGCCCTCAGAAACTGGCAAGTTGAATACTTTTATGAGGCGCCGCGCAAGATGCCATAAGTTTCGACAGTTTTCTGTGTGTGTGTGTGTAGGAGTTTATTTTTAACTCCTAACCCCCAAACATGTGCCTGGGCCTGTTTCTGATGGATCATCAGTCCTAAATCAGCCTCTACTTAGTTTACAGTCTGGTGTATCCCTCCTCTTACTTCCAGGCACACATAGCAAGTCTATCACTCACACCAGCTGGTTTATCTGAGATCAGGCATAATGTAAATACAATAAATTGACTTTAATATAGACCATAAAAAAGAGAAACTCTAACAGGTGCAAGTAGTCACTAAAAGAAGAACTTAATTAAAATACAAAGTAGTGAAAAAATGAAGCTGCAAGCAGTGTTATAACTGGCTGTGGCATATTATATATTGATAGTGGATGTGTGATTTTTAGGTTGTTTTTAAGATAGTATTAAAATGTTATTGAACTGTATGGGAAAACCAAGGTGTTTTAGTTGGGGGGAAAATAAAATAAAGAAAGAACTTTGGACATAAGATAACACAATATAATTTATATATAAAATAAAAAAGATACACGTGTAAATGTACTCTCCCATCTATACAATCTAGAAATAAAACACATTTTTCTTTTTATTCAGTTGCACAAATCGAGGTCATAAAAACGTTCCAGTTACATATTAATATAATGTTCAAATACCGATCAATACTGGATTTTTGAGGNNTTAGCTTAGCTTAGCATAGAAACTGAAAGTGGCCCGGTCCGAAGGTAAAAAGTTAATATCATGTTTGTTTAATCCGTACAAACACAGAAGTGTAAAAACAAAACTCAGTGGTTATGTATCCTGTAGTCTTGTCATCACCATGAGGTTGCCAGGCAACCAGCGGAGACTCAGTCGTTTTGTTTTTACACTTTGGGTTTTGTACAAGTTAAGTTAATTACACTTAAAATGTTCATTAGTGAGCTTTAGACAGATTTATTTTACATCTAGACAGAGCCAGGCTAGCAGTTTCCCCCCGTTTCCAGTCTTTATGCTAAGCTAAGCTAACCAGCTGCTGGCTGAATCTTTTGGCAAGGAATTTCAGACGACTCCACTCTTGGTCTGTGAGGCTGCTGCAAGGTTAATGTTTATTGGATGGGAGGCAATGTAACGGACCCTGGGGAGAGCCTAATGCTGCAGACAGTACGCCTTTAGCAAACACACACACGCAGACTCACACCCTGTGTTTGAGAAAGTTATCTACCGATTGTTGACTCTTTCTCCCAGCGTGATGTTAAGTGGATAGAAAGAAAATATGAAAGAAAGAAATATAAGTGTATTTAGAACCACACTGCTCCCTCCCTCGCTCTCTCTCTCTCTCAATGTGGAAAAAGTCGGGGTATTTTCGACCCCCTCACCTCACCTCCCGAACACACACACACTTACCCAAGCACACACACACACACGGTTCATTCATTTGTGAGGGGGAAGGAGGGGTGAACAAACAATACAAGATGAGATTAAATGTCCAGCCGGCAGCCGTCGCCACAGAAACTATCACCACAGAGGAATAATTAAGAAAGATTTAAAAAAACGTGTGAGACGCAACAGTCTGCTGTTTTTCTGACAAAACATCCATCATGTATTATATATTTATGTAGGACACACGGCCACACAGCAAAATTATAACCCTTTGATGGTAAATAGTTTAGGAATGATAATGAAAGGGCACAAGCTCAATGCTGAAGAATGGACCATCGCTCTCAAACCGCCTGTTATAAAGCACTGCAAGTTCCTCATGGAGGTCAGAGATGTTCGGCCATTAACTGTATGGTTGATTGTTCGACCCTCAGCTCCTCCTATACACATCTGCAAGTGTCCTTGAGCAATATATAAATAAAATAAATATAAAATATAAGCTCTTTCCGGTCTCTGAATACGGATCAGGGAACTAAGACAAACGTAAAGTGTAATATATTTAAATGCTCAACGTCTGCCTGTTACTGTGCTGTTTATTGTTCATTGTAATTAGATTTTAGGGCTCAAAACTTATTAACTTAACTGAGTTAAAAAAATATTTTTGATTTCAAGTGTAAAATTACAGTTAAATTAAATTAAATTTACACCATTGGTCAGTCGAATGCCACTACCTACTGTATCTTCTTTAAAGTAAAAGCCCACATATATAAGGTTTGAACTAGTTTTGTTTAAGTAAGTCTAAAGATAGATAGATAGATAGATAGATAGATAGATAGATAGATTCAGATGTGAGGATAATAAATCCTCACATTTAGAAAAGGGGAATTTTTGGTTTTGCTATTGCCCGGACAAAACAGGTGTGTGAAGAAGTCACTGTGCGCATTTAAATCTATTTTTAGACTAAATGGTTGACAACTTAATTGTTATTAACCAGCATTAAGAAGGCATTGTTTGTGTGTTGTAGCAGGAAATCATGCGTCATGCGTTGTACTACTTAAAGTAGCAGTAGTAGCCGTAGCTATATTTACATTATTATACGAATAATATGGTGATAAATGCAATAAGCCATTACTTTTTTGGTACCCAGCCCAAGTCACTGTAAACACATTATTAGGATCCACAGGAGCTCAGTGAGCAGCAGACATGAAAGGAAACAGCAGTTGAGGCCTTCACAGAGCTGTCACTGTGTCACCGCGTACCGTTAACTCTGCTGGAGTATAGATCGGTTATGTCTTTTTATGTTTATAGCTGCGGGGCTTCATTTGCATTTACATTTGTGTTTTATCTGATTGAGGCCGTCAACTGATTCGTTGTCTTTCGCTGAGCTGGACCACACCTGCCTCTGGGCTACCTGAACACACACACAAAGACACGCACCTGTGTGTCACGGTCTGAAAGGTTTCTATGACCCCAGATCTCTCTCTGTCTCCGTGTTTGAGTGGTGTTTTGTTATATTGTGCTCATACATGCAACTTTCACACACACACACACACGCATAAAGGCAGGCATCCACCCCTGCGGAGGCGGATTGTTTGAGGAAGGTACAGGGCCAGTGCTGCAAGACTGTCTGGTCAGACAAGTTTACCTGCAATGGTAATGTGGTGTGTGTGTGTGTGTGTGTGCATGTGCGTTAATGGGCATGTGTATGCGTGCAAAATAAGTCGCACTAAACAATAGGCCAAACATGTACACACCCACGCACACACAGAAATACATACACATATTTACACATTCTGCGTGTTTGCTAATTGAGAGATTGTGCAAATATGAAGCGGTGCAGGCTGGCGGCCTATTGTGAAATTTATTAGTACAAGAAATTTCTGCCTCGTTTTTTTTCCCCTCTCTCTCCCTTTTCTTTGTTCTCTTACACGTTTCTCACTCTCTGTCCTACTTTTCTGCGGCTGTAATCAATATTGTTTATGATAGTAACAACGTGAAAGAGGTCACTCGTAGTGATGAATCTACAGACAGTTATCACCCGAATCTGAAGCTCCCCTTGGCTTTATGGAGCTTAATATTAAGTTTCAGCTCATTGTTTAGCAGGCCGGTTGCAACTTTACTATTTTTGGTTCACTCTCATAGCTCTAAAATCTCACTGCACACTGCCTGCTCAGCATAAAATGGCAGACAGACACAGTTAGCAACCAGCTGTTGAACAAAGTGGAGCACTTTGTACACAGCTACAGAGCCGAAACAAAGCTAAAAGAGAGTGAATATTGGAAACACAATTCCAACTTGTTTCTACTGTCCCAAAAAGTTGCCAAAAAAAATCTATTATTTAAGAAATGACTTCAAAGGTGACACTGTCTCTTCCCTCCTCTCCCTCCAGTCTCCATCTACCCTCCGTCCTTGATGATGATAGAAGCTGAAGCCAGCCCTGCCGAGATAGCGCCGCTATGCCTCACCAAACAGTCTCTCTCTGACACGCAAACGTACGCCGAGCTGCCGTCTAGCACGACGCTGGGCCGACCGCGGAGCCCGGTGGCTTCACCGGAGCAGAGGTCAGGGGTCAGAAGGAGGTCGCAGGGTGGCCCTCCGTACATCCGATCCAAAATCAAGGTGAGGAAACAAGCTGACAGAGCAAAGGACTGGTGGTGCTTAAGTGGGGAGCATTTTTTTGTGGATTTTGTGGATATAAAACTAAATATATTGTCAAATAATGATTTTATTTTGCAATTAAACTCTTTCCGTGTTCACTCTCTCCACCACAGGTAACTACAGGCGAGTTACCGCACGTTCCTTCTCCCCTTCCCCTCTCCCTTCCTCCCATTCCCACCCCTCCATCCGTAACCCCACATGCCACTGTGATGCCGGTCGCCTTGACGACAACTCCTGCCTCCCCAAAAGCGGTCTCCATGGTGACCAGATCAACAGGTCAAAGTCAGAGTTCGTCGAAAGGGACGACAGGGGCGTTTGCGTGCCAGGTACATTAACAACATTGGAATGACAGTTTTGGTTGAAGCTTTAAAATGCAAATCCAGATTTTAATTTCAATATTTTTAGATTATATTTGATATATTTTGTCTTAGAAATACTTGGATGATGATGCATTCATATGAAGCCACACAATGTATTAGTGTTAACTTTTTGATCCAAGAAAAAATATTAAAATCTGTCAAAATAAGTAATTATATGAATAAGAAAACTGTATAAAACACAATTTAAAGGCACCCTGCGCCTCAGAGCAGTGTTGTTAAGAGTGGGTCCCCATTTTATTTGTATCATTCACAAGCAACATGATTTGTATGCTCTGCATATCTTGCTGCTGATATTTGCTGTTCCGCAACAGTTGTAGGCAATTATGTGCAAAGAAGCGTAACGCAGCGCCCATGGAGGAGAAGGCCGCAAGCTAGCAAACATGGATGTAAACAAAACATTTGAAATATTTTCTAGTTGGCTTTGCTCTGAGGAAGAAAATTGATCATTAATGATGTTTGTCGGGCTTCACACAACAGCTTTTAGAGAGAAACGCTGAATGTAAACATAACTTTGTTGACAAGAAAACTCCACAGGGAACCTTTAATGTTTTGTGTGTTGTATGTAAAAGTGAAATGGCCCTGACTGTATGTTTGCTTGCTGTAGGTTTGCCAGAAGACCTTCCATCACCAGCGGATGTTAAACAGACACGTTAAGTGTCACAACGAGAACAAGAGACACCTGTGCAGCTTCTGCGGCAAAGGCTTCAACGACACCTTTGACCTCAAGAGACACGTACGCACGCATACAGGTAGCTACACACTTTCCTGTTTACACACACTCGCGTTAACGCAAAGGTGCACAGGTGCAAGAAAGCATATGACATTTGTTTTCCCGCATTTCCGTACAGGAGTCCGTCCTTACAAGTGCACCCTCTGCGACAAGGCCTTCACCCAGCGCTGCTCCCTGGAGTCCCACATGAAGAAGATCCACAGCGTCACCCAGAAGTACGCCTACAAGGAGCGACGCAACAAGCTGTACGTCTGCGAGGAGTGCGGCCACACGGCGGGGACGCAGGACGAGCTGGTGATCCACCTTCACTCGCTTCACCCCAACAGTCACCTGTTGAAGGCGAAGGCTGCGAGGAGAGCAGGAGGAGGAGAAAGAGAGGGAGGGTCAGTCGGAGGATCGATGCCAGGCTCTCCCCGAGGAGCCGATAGTGATGACACCGCCGGATCAGGGGAGCAGTAGACGGGAGGGAAGCCTGGAAGATCATCAAAAAGACAAACTCAGGGGGGTGGATGAAGGATGGATGGATGTATCAACTGATGGACATAAAGGTGAAGTGATAGAAGATAGGTGGATGACAAGTCAGATTACATTGCAGTAGGGGAAAGTTAATGTATATGTGTGTGTACGTGTGTATGGATTTGGGTAATTGTATATAACGCAAGCTTTAACTTTACTGTAAATGAAATAATGCACCAAACAAGGCCAAGTCTGACTAATATATGTTTTTACATTGCGTTGTGATATGGATGAGCTCATTATTAACATGTGTGTCAATACCAACCTACTTCTCTTTATTTGTATTGCATGTGAATATTACCTGTGGGTTTCTCTGTAGGGCAAAAAAGAAAGTTTTTCTATGAAAAAAGTACTTTTTGTTCAATAAAGGAGTAATATATTACACAATAATTAATGTGCTGGTGGTGCTTTCATTGTGAGCTACATTCTGGCTCAACAGTGTTTCAGGTTAAATGTTTAACTGGCTGTTAGGTGGTGTGGTTCAAGGCCACTGAAGTGCACTGAAAAGAAAATTATTGCTGTTTAATGTTGCCAATTTGAGATCATGGCTCCAGAAATGGTGCCACTGTTTAGTACAGAAAACGTTCGTCCTTATTTGGTGAAAATATTACAACATTTTCAGAAAACTGTGGTTCTGCTGTTTCCCACAAATGTATCTAAAGGCTAAGATGATATAATATAAAAGCCCAAGCCTAATGAAAGGCTTAGTGGTAGAAAGGCTTAGTCACAAATCAGCCTCTCAGTGTCATCTAATCTGTAGTAAAATGCCTAATACGATTGTTCTCTCTGTGTCTGAAGTGAAGCGAGGTCAAAGACAGCGAACCCTGAGCCATTAATCCCTGCAGAAACGGTAATCGGTAATCAGGTTTATTGGACAGTTGCGATACATTTTCAACCTCCTCTACCTATAATTTAGATCCAGCGCAGGTGCAAAAGCTTCCATTTCAGCACAATTGTTAAATCTGTATGCTGTTTAGCTTAGCTTAGCTTAGCACAGAGACTGGAAAGACGGGGAAGTTGCTAGTCTGGCCTTGTTCAGAGATAACAAAATACACTGACCAGCACACAAGCTCACAAATCAACAAGTTTTAACATGTTTGATAAAAATTGGTACAAAAAACCAGTGTGAAGATGACAGTTTGCAGTTTTACAGCGGTTACGTGTCAAACTATTTCATTCTCATCGCCATCGTCTGGTTACCGGGCAACAAGCAGAGGCTCCAGGAAGAGCCAAGAAATATTCCCGCATTATTTCCACAAAATGTCCGTTAGTTTTCAAGTCAGTTAATGGACTGATCTTTTGTAAAATGCCTCTTCTGGACATTTATTCATGCTTTGTTATGGACACTAAAAATCAAGTCAGGGCAAAATGTTGTCACTGTATCCTTACACTAGCTACACCCTTATTAACATTCATGGTTTCTTAGACCCCTTAATGACTCATGGCTGCTTTGCTCAGTCGACGGTATTGTTAATGACTACAAGGTTGTGGGTTTAATCCACGTACTGCCCATTATTCCGAATATTTACACTTATTCATACATAATTGTTACACAGAAGATAAATGTTTCTCTACTATTTAATAACCCTCAAGTACATCTATATGGATGCTTATGTGGTGTATATTATCCTCCTGTCACTTAAAAATGCAAACCCTGCCCTCAGTTTGCACACATACCATTACATTAACAGGTGCATGCAACAGTAAAACCATTTCCACACCCGCATGTGACCAAAATAGATTTATTATATCAGTTAAAAAACATTCAGCAGTTAGATTTAAGTCCAGTTTAGTTCTGTAATGGTGACACTATTAGACAACTGACAAACAAAGCAACTTAAGCTGGCATCGAGCCAGTAGGCTGACTGACATTCAGTTTAACTGCTCAAATTAGTGGTGGATTTAAAATATAATAGACACTATATGTACTATATAATAAACAATAAAGGCAGTAAAGGATACAAGCAAAATAAATCATTGAATATTTATATTACAACATCTGAGTGATTGCTACCGGCACAAAAGGAATTCTCGGTATGACTGTGTTGATGTATTTAAAGCTGTAAATCATTGTGGTCACATCGGGAAAAACCTTTCAGTACCGAACAGTTAGACGCACGTCATTCCATCCTCTAATATATGACTCTATATTTCTGTAAGCAAAATAGTTGATACGCAAGTCTTAGTGGAGGCTTGATTTGTTTTTAATTTAAGCTGTTATATCCAACCCCTCTTTTCAAAGTGTTAAATGTGTCTTTACGGCCTTTAGCAACTTTGTTTAATTTGAATACAAAAGTGTAACTTAACTGAGGTTTAAAGAGCTTCTTCAAACTCGCTGTGAGAGATGTCTGTTAAGCACTAATTATGCTACTTCTTCTCTCGAGCTTCTGACTGTGTGTTTAGGAAAGAGAGAGGTTGTGGTTGGGAGGGTGAGGTTGGATTCTTGGTCTCTGTCGGGTCTTGTTGGAGGATTCCTGCAGACTCCCTTCAGCCTGAGGACACACGGAGGGAGATTCATGTAACAAATGGATAACGGTCTTGAAAGTTAACTGACACTGAGTCATGTTGTTATTCACACTATTTAACTTGTCAATGAAATCCCATGTCAAACAAAGAAAAAGCAACACACAAACAAACAACACAGGCACAGAGGAAGGCGTGAACTTAAATATATAGTAGCCTATATAACTTATTTATTTTTGTTACAAAGTATTTCCCAGTTATTTGAGAGGTCTTAATGGTGTTCTTGTTTGTTGATACTTAAGAAACAAGGTTAAAAAAGATACACATAATAAACCGGTGGTTCCCAAGCTGGGGGTCAGGACCTCCACTAGGGGCCGCCAAAGCCTCATGGGGGTCCTTCTTGATTTTAAGGGGTGTAAGAAAGAATACACAGTAGGCCTTTCTCTCAGCATTTGGTTCACTTCTGTTAAGAAAAGTGAATGTAAAGTTATAGAGCAATGGCCAAGTGACAGGGACAAGAAAACACTGAATTTGTCAAAAAAGAATCCTATTAATTATGTATGAATGTTAAAAAATGATAATAGAAACAAATACATAATACAGACAAAGAATATGAAAAGTAAAAAGGAAATAATCCGCTCAGAATTCATCTAAATCACTTGTATTACAAAAACTTCTTTTAGTTACTGAGAATGATGAAATATGCATAAAATATGTCACTTAGCCTTACCCTAAAGAAATATTACAATTCAGAAACCAAACCATGTCTTTTATTGGTGTTAATATATTAAAACTATTAAACCAGAACGCTTGAGAATGAGCACATTAAAGGAATAAATGAGAAATGGATTTGATTTCTGTTTTACAGAAAAGAATTATATAAAAAGCAAATGTGTTTTAAATTCATTACGAGTCTTATATATCATGTCATATCTTTATTTGAACTCTATTATTGTTATTTGGATGGGGAATTTATTTGATTCTGTTTAGTTTAGTTTCCATAAAAGAGTCAATTTGGGAGAATTACTGCAATCTAAGGTCAGTATTTTTCTGATAAGAGCTTATAACAATGCCCGTTTGACAAGAAATAGTAGCTTTTGCGATTTATAACACTGTCATATTATTTTTGACAAATATCTAAACCCTTATTCTGAAAAAAAGTCTTCATATTCTCAAGGTTACTTCTATCATTAGGTACATCTAAAACAAAGATTACACCGTTTAAATTACATTATTTTATGTATCTGGACTTTCTCCATTGACAATACAGTCTTGTTGCTCCATATTATAGATGAATGTGGCGAAAACTTAGATTTGAAGCAACCCTCCAAGCTTCAAGAGCTTGTTTGTGGAGGTGAAAACTCGCCGCTAGATGTCGCTGTTTATATTTCCGCTCCTCGCTCCAGCTTCCTCAACAAGGAAGTGTGT